TATCCCCAACTCTGAAGTGTAGCTCATGACGTGTTTTCTGCTCTTATTTCCCCAAAAAACTCGCTACAAGCTGACTTAAAGGCATTGTCTGCGACCATCTGACATCTTCCTCTCTCTTCGCGAACAGATAGACATGCCCGCAGAGACAGCGATTGCATCATTTGCGGCGCAAAGGTGAGGGAGGAAGGGCGCCGACATGTTCGCTTTACTTAATGTTAGCCCGACCCATTATCATTGGCCCCGCCCGCTGCTGTGCTATCAATAATGATAGAAGACCTGCTAAAGAATATCGGCAGAGACATTATTGGCAACGGGAAATCAGCTGTGATCAATGGCGCAACCACATCGACCCCAACAACTCTCGCCCAATGATTTCGTCCGATCACTCTTTTTGCTCTCCTTTGCTCGTACAAGTGTGCTCGCGCAGGGGTTTTATTGAGGGCATTTGCAACCATTTTTTTCTGTTCCTTCCGCACTATTGACTTTATTGGCATCTTGGCATCGCTAGTTCAGTACCATCACCCAGAATATCTGATCGCGGGCTTTGCCTTCAAGGAGTAATTTTGATCAAGGCTATGTCTCTAGTCTTCGATACGTCACTTCCTTTCTTGTTTTTTTGCGTTGGGTCAGTATCGGCTTCCAATTGCGCGGGATCATTTGACGCCATGATTAGGTGGTTGACATTAGTTTTTGGCTACTTAACCATCGCGACGAGTGGCGCCGATAGTTTTCGGCTACTTAACCATCGCGACGAGTGGCGCCGATGCCCACGTTGAGTGCCTTAACAGTTTGCGCGCTGCTAAGCTGGGGCTGGAGCAAGGTTACACTCACAGTCGCATCAGTGGCACCCCCCCCCACCGACACCCGAAATCTGCATCGAAAACGGCTGTAACCATTTAACACATTGACGACAGCGTGATACGCATTTAATGCGCGCTCTGTGGGCCACGTGGGACCGCGCGAATTGTATACGAATCACGATCAAAAATCCATATCTTTCACTAGTGCATGATTTTTGTTTAGTTTCTCCTATTCATTCTATAGGCCAGTCCTTAGTAGTATACTCGTACAACAGTCCATGGAATAATTTAGTACACACTAGTTTAGCAAAGATTTCCTGTGGAAAGAGCACTATAAGCTTGAATTGGTTTGCTCCTCAACTTTGGATTGGTTTGCTGTTTAACTCTTTGCCAACAAATACAGACAATTACAACATTGAAAAAAATATAAGGTGAAGGATTCTGAATCCTATAGAAAGCACGATTTGCGTTTTTTTTTATGACAATTTGGTTACAGAAAAATTCCTGGCCCTGGTGCAAATGGAGCTGATCAGGCCAGATTTTCCATTAATAAATAATGAGCTTCTTTCACAATTACTCTCTAAACCAAGTTTTCGATCCAATCTCTCAAAAAGCGCTTCGTGGGACGGCTTGAATTGTATGCGTACCGCGCTTGTGGCGTTCAAGAAAGCGCGCGTGTCCCACGCGACCAAAAAGTAAAAACCCGCGTTGTCGTCAACGTGTTAAGATGAGCCTTTGCAGAGCGAAGACAGAATGTTTCGGGCTGTTTCGTGGTAGTAATGGTAAATAAGCGCCTGAGAAAAAAAAATCAAAGGTTAATGAGGGCAGCCCGCATGCAATTCACCTAAGGCAGCATTCAGGCTTGTAGCGCTACAATTGTACCAAACTCCAGCTTCCCTTTTTGGTTACCGGATTTCAATCCAGTTCTGCTTATTTTCCATTTTTATGTGATCCTGGGCTCCCCTTTTTCTCTTTGATGAACTTCGATGTCGTTTTGCGACTTAAATATATTCAAACATTCATGTCATATTCATCAAACATGCAATAGTAATCCTGAAATTGAATAATTAAAGTCGGAAACGATATAAAAAAACATTATCACAGTGTTCTCAAAACTACATCAAAATTCATTAAAGAGAAAAAGTGGAGCTCAGGATCACATAAAAATGAGAAATAAAGAGAAAGGGGTTGAATTAAGAAAAAGAAAGAACAAAAAGGGAAGCTGGAGTTTGGTACAATTGTAGAGCTACAGCTGTAGCGCGACGTTTTCGCTAACACTGCGCTACAGCTCAAGTCTGAACGCTGCCTAAGAGAGACGAAGCGCAAGATGAGTCACCTAGCTTCCCACGCCTCGGTCATGCATTTTTACAGTCCTAGGAGTTTTCAAACTTCTCCACATTTTATCCAAGAGAATCTTAGTTCACTCACCTTCGCGAACTTGCAAAGGAGTCGATAAGCGAAAGTCGTTCTGCTTTCCCTGGGTACTTTTCTGAACACACTAGAGACGGTAGCACTCCGCAAGTCGAGACGCGTCTTGAACGCTGCATTCAGGAGCCATGCAGTCGCTTTGGTACAAAAGCTCGTCGTGCATTGCTCACCGCAACAATGATTTCATACACGGAGATTTCCTAGATATGATATTTGCTGTCTAAATGGTTTTTCTTTTACATTTTTTCACTTGCATAAATGGCTTCCAGTGCTGGATTATGCGAACAAATGGTTGGTTAGCCAGGGGTTGCGCAGAAATTGCAGGGTCTTCGATTATGGCAACAAGTCCGGAGCCTTGTACAATGAGGCTGTGTGGGCTTGAAAGGAGAGGCTGGTTCTTTAGTTGCGTTTCTCGAGCCTTTCCATTTCATTCAGCTTCGGATTCACTAATTGGCTGTCGGTTCATAAGTGACGCTCACTACCTATTCTTGATCGCGGGATTTGTCTTCAAGTTTCTGGCCAGCTAGTGAGGATCATCTGACCCGCCAGGCGTAAAGGGGGGGAACGAAGCCACAGTCCATTCTCCTTTTATATATATCCCTATGATTCCGTATATGTCCAAGCGGGAGTCGCAGGTACGAGGCAGCTTGATGTATAAGATTAAACATTTCTAATGCGAAATAATATTTAGCGCGAGATACATTCTGGTGTTTTTTCTTTCTTTCCTAACAGACCATAGCTGCGTGGCTGCTCTCAGGTGTGCTGCAGTGCGCCCTCTAGTGAATTCCAATTGTCAAATGACATCCTCCCTCCTGGAATCATGTACGAAATCTTTTCGGAGAGCATTGAGAAGAAGGGTTCACTCGAGCTGTACAGGAAACGACGGCGGGATTCATGTATAGAAGCAAAGAGAGACACTGGGTAGTTAGTTTCATCAGCGGTTGAAAATTAGGAATACACAGTATTTGTTAGGGTGGCGAATGCGAAGAGAGGCTACGCGAGACTGTGGTAATTCAGTGGATCCCATGGTGAGCCAAGCAAACATCAGCCCGATGGTCAGACTCCTTTGCGAGCACTCCGCGAGAAAGAGTGAAGATTCGTGTTCCTCGAGCTCGCTACTCTGGCTCGCTACATAAAGAAATCGTTTGTTGTCGCGAGAGAACTTCATGGTGAGCGCGATAGGAAGGCTAAGACCTCACCACGCACTTAGCCGTGCTCCACCATTGTGAATGTAGCATACGCCACGTAGCTTATGATGATGATTTTTTGCCGAGTTGGATGAGTAGTTTTTCCAGCCTTCTACAGCTTTTCTCCCGCCTATTGAAACTTTTCCGATGAATGCCACCAATCCACCCTTTTCATGAATTTTTTCAAGATAATTTTTTTTTTTGTGAGGGATATAAAAAGACTAGGCAGGCATCAACACAACATTCGCCAAAATGTGGTTCTGCATTGCTTTACGTGGGTTCTGCTTTTTAGCGGTAAGTCGGTGCGCTACTTATTTTCACTCACTTCTCGAAAAAACAACGTATCCAAGGTAATAGTGACGCTATCAGCGCAACCACAAAGTTAATCCAGCCACTTCTACGAGTACTGATCCACCAGTTCTACAACTAGTGAGGAGCAGCAAACTAGCAACTGAGAGCACCGACAGAAGACAAACTATGGCTACAACAACAACTACTACATCGACAACTACACAAACCAATTGCACATCGATCCTGTCGTAAATAGTGGAAGGTTTGGCAAATCAATTTCAACCTTACAGTAAACTATGAAAACAGGGTCACTTATGATTTGGCTTCAATTTCAACGATGTAGGCCACTTAAATTCAAGTTCCATTAATAGGGGTGTTAGGAGCTTTCAGCGTAGGCCAAAAGTGCACAGATAACATTCGCAGAACTTTCTGTTAAATATACAGTTGGCGGGTGCTTCGATCATCTGTGTAATATTCCAGCGGTCAACCAGATCTGTACTCAGACCCCCGACACAACAGATAGAGTCAGGACGCAAGCACTTCAGGGACACAACTACCGCAGGTGTGTAATCTTTTTCTAAACAATGAATTCTTGACATTCACAAACGGCTTGCCACAGATCTCGACTTGCTCAAGGGCTCGTGAAGAAAAACAATGGAAATGATCTGCCTCAAGGTGCCAACATAAGGAGACTGGTGAGACCTAATACACGTTAAGATTTCACGAGTTTTCGGACAGGCAAGGGTAAGCCCTCAATTTCAGCAATACCAGTGTGACCTGGAATCCTCTGCTAGAGAATCGGCTATGAGATGTAACACTTCACCGTGGCCTTCGCTTCCATCTGGCGTACAGGAGAACATTATGGTATTCTCAAAAAGCCGAGCTAGATACCGCAAGGATGCAATTCTAGTGGTGAGTAAATTAGCAGTGTTCTTGAATGCCCGAAAGCGATCTCCGATGCATCCGCCATCATTTTGTCACTCTTTAGGCCATTAAACATTGGTGGAGTCAAATTCGTAAAGTCAATGGTCCTGGACGAAGGGTCATGTTCAGAAGCGCGTTCCAAGGCTCAAATATCTCCTGGTTCACTAGAGTAAGCCTTTATTCTCACAGAGCATGATATCCTTGCACAAAGTGGCGCAGTCTGCTTACCAGGGAAGGTCGACAGGTCGCCACGACCATTCAGGATGGGATGCATATCAGAAGTTGTCTCGGTGTTGGAACACTGAACTCAAATCTGTTTTCAGAATTTTCCGAGCAATTGTCTAGAAGGAATGGGGGGGGGGTGGTCTTGGCATGGCTCTGGCCGATCTTCCTCTGCGTAGCTCAAGTTAAGTTCGAGTACACCCAAACAGAAGTGGTCGATGGTGTACTGGGTAGGTGAGCTGCTTCACAGGTGAGAGGTCAGGGATTCGATCCTTCCACAGATTTGGTCTTTTGCTTTTAAGAACATCTTCTGCGAGTCCAGAAAATACTTCTATCCGTTATTTTGCCAAGCTTTCTCTTACTTGCAACAGGGAAACACTAAAATGTCGGTGCTTCCTTTCAAAACTTTCAGGCTTTTTTTCCCATTGCTGTTCCAATCATCCGAATCAGTCCAGTTTTAGCCGGTGTTTTAGGGTATTCTAGCACATGATGTGACACGAGCGGATGTGATATTTGTGTTCAGGAGGTCAAACTATTCTCGGGGACAACTTTCAGCCAATTCTGCCTACGGAGAAAAAAGTCGGTTAGAAACTGGCCTGATTTCGGATGATTGGGGCAGTAACGAAAAAAAAGCCTAGAAGTGTTGAAAGAGAAGCACTGACATTCGAGTGTTTTCCTGCTGCACGTAAGAGAAGCTTGACAAAATAATGGATAGAAGTATTTTCTGGACTCGCAGAAGATGTTCCGAAAAAAAGCAAAAGACCAAACCTGTGGAGGGATCGAACCCCTGACCTCCCATCTGTGAAGCAGCTCACCTCACCACTCCATCTGTGAAGCAGCTCACCACTACACCATCGACCACTTGTGTATGTGGGTACTCGAACTTAATGATCAGCATGCTCAAACACCCCTTCCCTAACTCCTTCTAGAGAATCGTTCGGCAAATTCTGAAGGCAGATTTGAGTTCAGCGTCCCGAGACCTACACGTCAGTATGAATCCCAT